GTGATGTTAAGCAAAGACGTGATTATAACCAATCAGTGCTCCGCTGGATTACTGTTATCCAACATGGAAACGAAAACTCAGCCCATGAAGGAGCACCTTTGAGAATCCCAACTGACCTGGCTTTAGCGACGAACTTGTGCAAGGCTGCAATGAGGCTGATGGCTGAAAGTCTCCCCGTTCCGTATCGACAGAAATGGCAGCAAGATGATGCTATAAAGAGTAAGTTACTAAGCCAGAATAACTGTGTGAAACTTCAAACGATACAAGGCATAAGTCCGCAAATCCAGAAGGGGAAATCGAAATACTTACATTGCCTGCAACTCTGCTTGCTACTCTTTTACTTCCGCCTGACAGAACGTTCTTTTTTGCTCCTCTTCTCAGCAACTTCCCTGACAGTTTTGAACTTGGCCTGACAGTCTCATCACTCACATCCTGAAAAAAGCAGCATTTCAGAATCTGAGAACTCGACAGTTTTGTTAAAAGCGTTTCCGTTTTGCACAGTGACCTGAATATTCCCCTTTGGTAGAGATTAGGCTTTCCGCACATCACATCAGCGTTTGCAATAAAACGGCAATTTGCTTTTCCCGGCTATGATTTCGAGCAAAGGCTAGTAACCTGAAGAGTCATCTCAACAGCAAAGCACAAAAATTTTAAATCGCTCAAAACTCAATGACTGCCACTTCTGGTGCATGACAGCGAACAAAGATAGCGCGACTACAAGTTGCGAATTTGTTTAGATCAAGTGGTAAAATTATCAATAAATTCCCGTTTTACTGCGCTTTTCTGACTAAAGTTTGCATCTCACCACCTGAATTTCACATTCACATTTTATTCAATCGCCAAGCAGTACACATATATACTTCCTTCTGCTAGAAATTTTGTCGTTGGATTTTGCATCCTTCTGGATAGGAATTTTGTACTTGTGCGTAATTTTTATTATCTCACATCACGAAAGGAAAGAAGAAGGGGTCGTCTTCTGAGGAAACAAGCGCACTCAGCATAATACATCCTTAAAAGTGAGAAACAAAACTGTCCACGCATTTTAGTGCTAAATGAATCAGAAGCCAGTAAAGTGCGCTCCACCTGATATTCTATACAGTGCCGACGACGATACAAGCACTGTGACTGCGCTCTGCCAAAAAAGACGAAAAATCGCTTTAACGATGCCGCAATTATTGACAACGCTAAAAACCTTGTTGAACGGCTCGGTGCCCTCGCCAGAATCAATCCGCAATGGCGCAGCAGGATCAAAATCTGCGAAAGAAAGCGACGTCTGAGCAACTCGTTCGCGCCTGCTATTAGCTGGAGTGTAGTACTGCGTTAAACTGTCCTGAAATTAAGCTTGTTCCAATAAGTGGGATGTAATATTCAGCTACCAGCATAGTTTTCTGCTTATCATTTTACAGAATGTAACGTATTTATATCAAATAAAATGGTAGAACACACGGAATAAGTTACATATGTATACGGAACGGCACAGACGATTGATGAACTTACAAAGTGCTTCCTTTAGGAAACCAACAGAACATTATGCTACGCGA